TCCGCAACTGCTATCATACCATTAAATAAAATTTGATGAAACATCTACAGAATCTTATCTATATATTGCACCTCTCATTTTACTTTATGTTCCGGCTCATATTTTGGGTTTCCCAATGCACAACATGGACACTACCTTTATATTCATATGGGAGGCGGAGGGGGGCATTCAGTAAGCTCATTGCTTACACTACCTCTATTTGTTTCTAATTTTCAACAATTCACGACACAATAGTTGATGTAAGTGAAGTTCTTTACCAAGCTTTGCAGAGACCTTATATAAACATATGCAAAAGAATATTCTTTATTCATCAAAACCTATGCATCTACCGTTTAAAATATATCAAACTGTTATTAGTTTTCTGCGAATATTTCAAGGCGTATTCTCTATGGACATCCTAAACCTACCTTTGAAGTTTTTATCTCGCTAAATAAAGTTTCACTGGTGGTTCTTGATCTATAGTACATCTTAATTGTTGATACATAGAATTGATCTGGGGCCTGTTTTCCAAGAGAACCCATAACGAAGACAATAAAAAAACAAAAAAAAAACAAAAACAAAAAAAAACAGATAATAGTAAAATTTTATAAAATTATTCACCCTTTTTTTAAAAATTAGTTAAAATATTTCGTTAAGGGGGCCAACTATAGTTTCCATTGCGCAATCTTTCGCGCATCATAGTAAAATGAAGCGTATTTACTGTTTTAATGCAACTTTGTTTGCCTAATTATTAAAATTAAAAAAAAGATTAAGAAATTATAGGTATAAAAATGTAATGATATTGTAGTTTTCGTGCAAAAAAAAAAAAAAACAAGAATAGTTGACTTCCTTAAATTCTTTCTTTTTTAAAAAAAGATTAAAACAATTTTCAAATCAATGCAAAATAGAAAGTTCTGAGCAGAATTAAACTTGAGTTGTAGTTTTTTCCTAAAACAGTCCCCTGGACTTTCTTCTTCTCGCTACCGTTTTGTCTTAGTTTAGTTTTCAGGAGAAAACAATAGGAATCCCTGTTTACAATGTATTGCATTGAACCCATTAGAATCTTAATGGTTATAAATCAAGTCATTGGCCTTACAAAATTTTACATTTCAAAACGGAAACGTATCTTGCATTCTTTGATAACTTATCTTTGATATAACTACATTGATTCTACACCTGTTGAGGGCATTTTGACTTTTATTTTTTGATTTCCTCTCAAGGTTTTTACGCTGCTGCAATTGTCGCAGTCACAAAGAAGGATGTGGACGAAAGATTTGGAAAATAACAAGGATCCACGAAGTATATAGCAAACTCTCTCTCTCTCTCTCACTCTCTCTCTCTTTCTCTCTCTCTCAACAAGTACGTTTTATACTAAAATGATAAAAAAAAAAAAATAGATATCATTTTGGGGAAAAAATATCTTTAAATTAAGTGCTTTAATTCATATATGTATTGATTGAGTTTGAGAGCACTATGCGTTTTGTGGGACCCAAGAACCTAACTGACTGAACGAGGCTAAAGGCATAAGGCATTTACTTAAGTTCAAGGGTCGACAAAATGCATGGTGCCCGAGAACATACTCAATAAATTTTTGTTATACCTTTCATATATTTTCTCACATACATAATGTTTTACTACTGTTTTCCGTAATGTAACATCGAGACCGTAACTGTTTAATACCAACAAATGAAATCGACGTTAATCTCCGCCCATTCTGTGACGTAAGCGGTCCAACATCTCAACAACTAGTCCAAATTCTCACTCATTGGTCAAACATTCATTTTTTTATGCCCGCTCAGCAAAACATTAGAAATGTTAGTCTTTTTCTGTATACTAGTATATGTTTATAGGAAGATTTTTAAACGTACAACAATCTAACTTTTTCAATTACGAACGGGTTTTCATTTTTCCATTTGATACGTTTTTTTAAAAAATTAATTGATTTTATGGTACAGGGAAATAGTTTTACAGACATTCTCCGAAAAAAATTCAAGATTGATATCAACACACAACACTTAAGCAAAAATACATCTATCTTAATTTTTAACAGAGTGTCCCATTCGTGAAAAAGTTTCTTCAATATTTCAATATCTCGGTTTTTATCTTAGTCTCTGCATTTTTTTTTAACAAAGTATACGACTAAGTATAGCCAAATTGGTCCATGAGCCAGGCCATGAATTTTTCGGTACCATCTTCGGTGAATAATTTTCATAGTTAATTTTTGAAGGACATACATGTCTACATTCAGAAAATGTATGATAGCATTCAATTGATTGTGGCTTTTATGGTGTATCAACCGTTTATATACATCAACCCAACTTGTTCGTTCTCTCAGCCATTTCTTTAAAAGACGAAGGTAGATTTTTCAATACGCAATTTCTATCTTATTTCGAATGATATTTTCTTGAAAATTCGTTTGAATACAGACCATGCTATTACCCTGTTCAGTTATTATTCAATATTGGCTCTGTCATCAGCCATCTAAATTATATAGGAATATAATTCTACCCTAGATCATGAAAGTGGAAAATGCGATTTTGAAATTTTAATCAGCTGAAAAAAATTACTACTGTGAAAATTTTTACATCAAAAACATATTACATGGTCATTTTATTTAAAGAATTTTTATCACGTATTAGCATTTTAAAACATTATTTCAGTAACAAATATATATAACTTGATTCAATAGTAAATCTTCATCCCTATCCTAAATATGAAAATTGAAGAATAATTCTCTTAATTAACCCGGTGAGTATATTCTTTTCTTAACAAAGATGTTGTGAATATGTCAGGACTGAAGTAGAGCCTTTACGTAAAATGTTTTATTTATTTAATCTCAAGATAAATCTAGTTAAACCTGTAATTTGTTATATATTTTTGACATCACAATTAAGCAACATATGTGCACAATCATTTGTTTCGATATATATGCTATGTGGGCAGTGGGCAGTGTCTCACGACCTGCAATGGCCTGACGCCCCTTCCCTCTACTAGTCCGGGTAGCAAGCACCGTGGAATGCTTTGAGCAAGGCATAAATAACAAAGAGAACAAGACAAAAAGGATCATTCCACTGTACCTTGGATCTAGGCATGTTCGAACGCTTCTCTACAGAGACATTACAGACATACCTCAGAGACGCACGACACTGATCGCAAGCGAACTCGCGAGATGTAACATTGACATTGCGGCTCTCATTGAAACCAGGATGGATGGAGAAGGTGAACTGTGTGAAAGAGTCGCTGGCTACAAATTCTTTTGAAGTCGACGAGGAGCCAAAGAGAGACGAGAAGCTGGCGTAGACTTTGCTATAAAGACGACACATGCTGGCAAGCTAGTCGGCGTACTCCAAGGAGTGAACGACCGCCTGATGATGATGAGGCCCCCCTCACTCTAGGAAAGTTCGCCACTATTGTCAGCGCATATGTTCCTACCCTGACTAACCCAGAGAAGGCTAAAACAAGTTCTATGAGAACCTCCACAATGTCATTAACGCCGTCCCCAATGCCAACAAGCTTATAATTCTTGGTGATTTTAATGCGAGAGTTGGGCGTGACACCACCACCGGGGAAGGCGTGATTAGGAATCACGGAGTGGGCAAGTGCAACAGTAACGGCCTATTGTTTCTCCAGACCTGTGCTGAACATGGCTTTCTCATCACTAACACCGTCTTCTGCCTTCCCATCCGTAACAAGACGTCATGGATGGAACCTCTCTCAAAGCACTGGCGTCTCATTGACTATGTTATTATCAGGAAGAGAGACATACAGAAAGTTCGTTTGTTCACCAAGGCTGTGTGCGGCTCGGAGTGCTGGACAGATCACCGTCGCATCGTCTCTAAACTTCAACTCTCAACTTCCGGATCAAACTCAGGATACATGTACGTCCTCAGGGGACTAAGGCTTCAAAACGTCTCAACGTTGGCAAGCTCAAGTTGCCTTCCACCTCTCAGTACTTTGCTGACACCCTGGAAGAACGCCTGAAATCCCCCATGCTGGATGACCACGACGTGGAAGCAGCATGGGGCACACTTCTTATTGGGTCCTCCACCAAAAACGCAAAGACTGGTTTGATGAGAACCGAGCCGACATAACGCAGCTTCTAGAGGACAAACATCGCGCTTACAAGGCTCATATATATGATCCCACCTGCACAGCCAAAAAGACGCTCTGAGGAACGCTCGCAGCACAATACAGCAAAAGCCTCGGGATATGCAAGATTCCTGGCTGAATGCCAAAGCTGACGAGATCCAACGTTACGCCGAATCTCATGGCAGGAAGAACTTTTACTGTGAACTGGGGAAAGTCTACGGGCCACCTCCATCAGGCTCATCCCCTTACTCAGTGACGACAGGTTAACACTCATCACAGAAAAGAAAAGATACTTGACAGGTGGGCGAAACATTTTAATGGCGTTCTGAACCGCCCTTGTACCATCAACGACGAAGCCATCAGCCGACTGCCCAAGTTCCCATTAACCAGTCACTAGACACCGTTCCCACGTTGGATAAGATCCAGAAAGCAAAACACTGTGCCGGATAATTATGCCACTTCAAAAGTGGCATTTTGGCGCCCGCCAAATCCTCATTTCACATAAAAATCATGTATACCAAGTGGTAGACCATCACTCAAAGAGTTCATAACTACCTTTGTTACAGGTAAATCTCACCTGTCAGGTGAGATAATCACCTTTGAACAAAAAATTCCCATAGGAAAAATAAAGTTCCTATAGGAAAAATAAAATTCCTGAGGGATATTATCGAAATCCTGCAGGATTTCTTAATTTCCTGCAGGATATTTAAAAATTCCTGTAGGACTATAATTTACCATGGGAGAATTTAATTTCCTAAGGGAATTCATTTTCCTAAAGGAGAAAAATAAATCCTATAGGAGAAAATATATCCTATAGGGAAAAAAAATTTCTCCTAAGGGAATTTTTTTCTCCCTTAGGAAAAAAAATTCCCATAGGATTAAAATTCCCATAGGAATTTGAGAATTATTCCTATAGGATTTTTTTTGTGCCATCTTCTTCTTAATTTCATAATCTTAGTTTTAAAAAAAATCCCTTAGGAATTTAAAATATTACTCCCATAGGATTTATTTGTATCTACCCATTTTGAGTATGTTGTACTGTTTCCTCTTATTTGTGTGTGGATGTCAGTGTTTAACGAGAACATCAGCCCCAAGAGCCTTGAATTCCTCTTCTGATAAATTGTACAATCTATCACAAAGCCTTGAAATTACAATCTCACACAAGGAAATAATTTCACTATATATTACTATATAGCTTGATTTAAATTATTTATTTTTTAGATTCTCAGCAGAAAATTCATGAAAGAGAAAATAAAGATTAATGCTTAAACAAAAATTTGAGATCAGAAAAAATATGCCTTATGCAGCTTTTAAGAAAGAAAATCGACAGTAAACATACCTACCCCGAAATGCACGTTGGATTCACATGTTGACAAACAGCCTACACACCATCAAGGAAGTTGCATCATGTGCACCTGAAAAAAAGAGTTCATTTTAATTCAGTGTAATAATTCTGCTAAAGAATGATAATCCTAGTACATGAGTCCAATTTTAATACTGTAGGCCTAAAACAAATTAACAAAAATGAACAAGAGGCCCCAGGGCCTTGAATCGCTCTTCTGATAAATTGTACAATCTATCACTTCTATTAGAAGCCTCCAACTCTATTAGTATCATAAAACCCAAAATGCATCAACTTACAAAGTTTGATAATATTTAACCAGTTAAGACTGAATATATTATAATATAATTATAAAATACCATAAGTAGGTCACAGTGACCTACCTTTTGATTAAAATTTTCTGAGGACTCAAGATACATTAATTGACAAAAATTGATGATTCTAATTAAATAAGTACCTGAGATATCAAAAAGTAGGTCACCATGACCTCCTTTTTAGTCAACATTCTCCGAAAACCCAAGATGCATCAACTAACAAAGTTTGACGATTCTAAGATAATTAGTACCAGAGATAATTAAATATAGCAATCAAATGTCAAAAGTAGGTCAGGGTGACCTACTTTTTGGTCGAGATTATCGAAAAACCCAAAATGCCTAAACTTACAAAATTTGATAATTCTAAGGCAATAAGTACCTGAGACATTCAAAAGTAGGTCACCATGACCTACTTCTTGTTGGACATTCAATGAAACCCTAAGATGCCTCAACTGAAAAAGTTTGATGATTCTGAGCCAATAAGTAACAGATATAATTAAATATAGCCATAAAATGTCAAAAGTAGATCACAGTGACCTACTTTTTGGTCGACATTCTCTGAAAACTCAAGGTGCCTAAACTGACAAAGTTTGATGACTCTAAGCTAATACGTACATGAAATATTCAAAAGTAGGTCACTGTGACCTACTTTTTGATCGACATCCTACGAAAACCCAAGATGCATCAACTCAGAAAGTTTGATGATTCTAAGCCAATAAGTACTGGAGATACTTAAATAAAGCCATAAAATGTCAAAAGTAGGTCAATGTGACCTACTTTTTGGTCGTCACTCTCTGAAAACCAAATATGCATCGACTCACAAAGTTTGATGATTCTAAGCCAATAAATACCTAAGATACCTTAATATAGCCATAAAATGTCGAAAGTAGGTCATCGTGACCTACATATTGGTCAACATTTTTTAAAGACCCAAGATGCATCTACTGACCAAGTTTGATAATCATAGGTCTGAAGGTAATCAAAATATGTGTTTTAAACAATTTGAAAACAAATGTCGGCCAAATTCAAAAAGTAGGTCACAGTGACCTACTTTTTCATAAATATGTTTTAAGGTCCCAAGATGCATCAAAGTACAATATTTGATGATTCTAAGCCTCCCAATGTCTGAAATAATGGGATTTAATGTTTTTAAAAATATAAGTCATAAAGTTCACAAAGTAGGTCACGGTGACCTAATTTTAATTGACATTGTTCGAGGACCCAAGATGCATCGACTGACAAAGTTTGATGACCATAGGCTTTAAAGTGTCCAAAATATGCCTTCAAATCAATTTGAAAACAAATCCCTGCAAAATTTAAAAATTAGGTCACCTTGACCTACTTTTGAGTTCACATGATGTGAAGTCGTAAGATGCATCAACTTACAAGATTTGATGATCCTAGGCCTTATAGTAAGCAAAATATACACGTTTTTATTAATTGTAAATTTAGGTCAACTTTGAAGTGACCTTGAGATCACGCCCTTTGCCCCAGGGTAATTCCCCGTGCAAACTTTAATCTTCCACATATCTTGATCCTTGTATGTAAGTTTATTAAAAATCTGCCTGGTGGTTATCGAGAAGAAGATTTTTTAGCAACCAGTACTTTTGGTTTTGTTTTCCTGATTATCTCCCCTTGTTTAAGGGTCCCAACCCTTATTTTAGTATAAATGGTAGCCCTTGGGCCAAGGATACGCTGTGACAAATTTGGTACTGATTGGCAAGGGGTTCTTGAGTTATGGCCAATATTCTAAAAAGTTTACGCACACCGCACAAATGGCCATAGCATTAGCTCTTTGAGCCTTTGGCTCAGAAGAGCTAAAAAAGAAAAAAAAATTGTCTCTATGTATATGGAACTTCAATTGACTAAGTTCATTTTGATTGGCTATTTCCTTGCGTAAGACCTTTAAGACAACTTAAAGTTAATGAAACTAAATGAAATTTGCGCAAAATGTCTACGAGTTATTTATCTTTCATATACTAGTGCATCAAAATTTATCTTTGTCCTTAAGGGATGAAAAATTTCTGTACATTGTCAAATTCATTTTTAAGCATATTAATTTCAAAACTTGTAAAAAATTAATGAGTGAATTATTGAGAAAAAAGATTTGAATGAAATGAAAGCTGATATATTGTAGTTTTTGGCTATCTGCTAAAACATAATTTCAACTCTAATTAATGAGCTCTAATTAGCTAAGAAACAGGAAGTTAACTGATTTTTAAGGAATTAATAAGCAAAAAAGTGAAAATCTTAATTCTAAAACAAAGTCAGAGACTGGAAAAAATGGTGTCAATAGAGACTTCAATAATGTACCTTGGAGCCTTGATAACAGTGATCACTGATTAATGGCTGGTGATTAAGATAAGGGGTTCTTAAGCAGTGTGGCCACTGTGGGGTGATGAGGCTTTTCCATCAGTCATCAAAGAATGAAGTTTCTCTTATAAGACCAGGCAGCTCTGAAGTGAATAAACAACACAAAAGTTTACAATACTTACAAATGTGCACCACATACAATAGCATATTCTTAGAAAAAGTCTACAAGTATACAGTTAAATAATTACCATGTCACAAAAAGGACCAAAATGGTTGCATCAACATCAATACAAAAAACGAAGTATTCCTCACAACAAAGGCCAGAAGAAAATAGGGACCACCAGCCCAGTCCAATCTCTAGTTCCCATAAGAAGACTAAGTAAAGAAGAGTTTCAGGACATTGTACGGCCACAGAAAAAAGAGTTTTTGCAGTTATAGATGGAAAGAGCCGAAGCAGCGAGATGAAGTTTTTACGACTCGGGCCAAGTGAAGTCCAGCCAGTGGACACCTACATTGAATCTGTGTCAGATGACCTAAATTCAAAAGTACTTCACCAAGAAAAGACTGCTAAATTGTGGAACAATGCATTTAAAGAACACTCACAGAAGTTTCCAGACTGTAATGGTCCACTGGACTGGAATCAGCATGGGGAGGAAAAACGATGCCTGGCATGGATCCTTTCCATTTGATGTAAGAAGTGCCACTATACCAGTCACCGAGAAAAGCTTTACGAAGAGGTGAGAAGATCTAGCAGGGGACGAAGAGCTGCACAGCTGAATGTGGCCATGGCTGTCGGTCACCTGGGTACCAGTCTTACAACAGAGGGTATGCGTGGCATGCTTCTTGGTGCAAATATTGAACCAGCGTCAGCTGCCAATATGCAACAGACCTGCAACAAAGTGGGAAAAATTATAACCGATGTAAATAAAAACAGTATGAAGAAAATCCGGCAAAATATTCAAGAACTTAATGAAACATAGGTAATCAGAGATTACAGAGCTCACCTCAACGAATGTTGTCTTTAAGTAAGGCAAAGTCACACAATTAACCAACAACATTTGCCATTTAAGGGAACACACTATTATCAATTTACTCCGTTCAACATGATAAATGGAAGAATTCTTGGAAATATTTTTTTTTTTTTTTTTTGGTTTTTTGACTTGAAATCTTTTAATATTTAGAAAGATCATGCTTTAACAAGAAAAATTATACCAAATTTGTTTTCTTTTATTTGAAAAAAAAAATATGGCCATTTAAGGGAACACGCCATTATAGATTTACTCTGTTCAACATGATAATGAAAGCATTCTAAGAAATAATTTTTTTTTTTTGGCTTTTTGACTTGAAATCGCCCATATTACAAATATGAAGAGTCAAATACATGCGACTTTTTGTTTATTTTCAGCAAAAAACATTTTCGTGAAAAACTGTATATAAATAGCTAAATAAAACTATTTTAAATAGCTTAATAAAGCTATATAGCTATTTAAAGCTATATAGCTAAATCAAGAGATTGTACTGGACCTGATAATATTCTACATTCTTTGTCAGAATGGATAATTAAAGTTAAAGTTATGTAACAGGTAAGCTAAACAAATATTTAGCAGCCACTATTTCTTTGAGTATCTATCATCTTGTGTTACATGTAGAGTTTAACAAGTGCATTCAGCACAGCAGTATAAATTGTGTTTAAGCATGTTATTAAAACACATGTTAAAATTGAACATATACATGATATAATCTGATAATTATTTGAGTGGATTATCAATAGGCCTAACTGTTACATTCAATATGCACATACCATATGAAAAGTATGGAAGACAAGCAGTAACACAAAATTGCTTATATTGTTTTAATGATAAACATGATTAAGGTACATGTAGTTGGAAGTCCTATACATTTTGGTAGCAAGTCTTGCCACTGTGGATTATAGATTATCATATTTTTGGAAATATTGAAGACATAATTTGAAAGCATTGCACAAATAAAAAAATATCTTGGAAATTGTTCATTATTGTAGGTTACGGGAAACATTATAAAACTTTCTGGGGTTCTTTTTAGAATTTGACAGTTATGATAGCTATTTGTTTTCATTGGATGTGAATTAATAATTGGCCAGCTGCAAAATGTTATAATTTATCAATATTCATCTGTAAATGTGTGTTTTCATCTATATTTTTTTCAAAGTGATTCTTTCTTTGGACCATGTTGACACAATATAAGGTATATTGCTGATTTTTAGCTGTAGCTAAATGCAGTTGAATCAAATTCATATAGGAGAAGAAGAAATCCTACAGGAATTTAAAATTTCCTACAGGATATTTTTCTCCCTTAGGAGCAAGTAAATAATTCAAAAGTGAAAAAAATTCCTACAGGAATTTCTGACCGAAAAAGAGAATCCCACAGCAATTTAAGAAATCCTATGGGATATATTTTTCCTAAGGGATTTTTTCTCTCTCCTATAGGAAATTGTATTCCTACAGGAGATTAAATTCTCCCATAGTAATTTAATTTCCTGTAGGATTTCTTAAATATCCCACAGGAAATTAAGAAATCCTGCAGGATTTTGATAATATCCCTCAGGAATTTTATTTTTCCTATAGGAACTTTATTTTTCCTATGGGAATTTTTTGTTCAAAGGTGATTATCTCACCTGACAGGTGAGATTTACCTGTAACAAAGGTAGTTATGAACTCTGTGAGTGATGGTCTACCACTAGGTATACATGGTTTTTATGTGAAATGAGAATTTGGCGGGCGCCAAAATGCCACTTTTGAAGTGGCATAATTATCCGGCACAGTGTTGCAATTAGTCTGCTGTCAACTGGCTAGGCACCTGGCAGATACTCCATCCCAGCTGAGATTTACAAAGAAGGGGGCGTGGTTCTAGTAGAAAAACTCCATCATCTGCCTGTCGGCCTGTCCAGTCACCCCCTGCACCCATCGTCCAGGTCAACCCCCTCCCCCACAAAGATGAGACAGTGGTCATCGGACGAATCAGACGGACGAATAACTAAACTAGTATATGTTTAGTACTTATCTTTTTTTTTGTTTTACAAATTAATGGAGTACATGTAATTGTTGAATACAAGTGGTAAAAATATGCAATTTTTGTTAGAATCACGGCTAGTAACTCAGTTAAGACTCTTTTAATATGTTCATCATACATGTATCTCTGTGTAATTCTGGTAGAACTTTCTATCACGGTTGGCAACTGTGTGACAAATACTTTGCAAGTTGCAAATATATTTAGCTCAAAATACCTAATTTGAGCAAAAAAAAGGTCAATAACTCTGTCTCCAGCATGGAAGCCACAACGGATTTGATGCTATCATACATTTTCTCACTAGTTAGGGGTACACCTTACCAAATATCACCATAAAGTTTATTCACCCAAAATGGTACAGACCACTCCCAGTGGCTCATGGACTAAATTAGGCAAATTTTTCAAAAAATATGATTCTCCTAATTTTCATTTTTTGTATAAAACGTTTAAAAAACAAAAAACAACAATGATAATAATAATTATAATAATAATAATAACAATAACTTTATATGATCTCGGTGCGAGGAACGAGTGGGTCTTCCGTCCGATTCTTGATCAGATGCGATAAGATTTTAATTTATATTTTCCATTAAAAATAATGATAAAAATCTGTTAAAAAGAACGATCTCGATTAGGATATGTGTAAAATATATTGAACATTAGAGATTTATAAATTCGACTTTTGGTTACACTTTTCCCCCTTTATGAGTGGTCAGTCCTTTTTTTCTTCTAATAATAATAATAAAAGTGAGAAAGAAACAATACCATTATAGAAATGTCTTCTATTGGAGACGGAAGAACCTAATAATAAAAGTATGTACATGAAGTCTTTTCCAATTAAAACAGGTAAAGCCTTATTGCTGGAAACTGAATGTTTAAACTATCTTTTTAGTCGCTGAGAGAGACATCGAGAGGTTCCCAATATGGAATACCAAACGCAGGTATATTTTTTCTGCTTGTTGAAATACATCACAAAAAATCATTTTTTTTTCAGATAAACACCCCTATGATAAATCTTTAATCCATTAGAGTACTTTATTTTATGAAGAAATCAAGACCCAAACATACATTCATATATTTTTTGTAATTTTGACTCTGTGAAAGATATACTGTAGAAGTACTTTTTCCGCGTGGTATTAATTTACGCTATGTACGCGGTCACAAATTTTTCGCGGAAATTTGTCCAAGCGTACTTAATATGAATTAAAGGCATATAGTGACAGTCTATGAAATCCGCGTTATTTTCTACACGCGTATTCAACAGAAATTGAGATTCCGCGGAAATATGACCCCGTGGAAAAAAGTACGTCTACAGTACATGAAAATGATGTAAAATAAAACTTCTTTTATTATCTGATAATTAACAGTAGTATTGTTGTGCAGAAAATTAAAAAAAATAGTAAGAATAATCTTTAGTTAGTAATAAAAAAAAATCTAACCATATACTTTGCTTAGAGAACTTTACAAATTTTGAGATACATTTCGCATACTTACATTCAACAAATGGATTCATGACAAACAAACAAAAATTGATACCTGGATAGATTTATAAACACGTATTTCTAGATATATGTTGGTTTATCACGATGCAAATAATAACTTTCTAAATAATTCTAAAAAGAAATTTTAAAAAAATTTGGAAACATCAATGAACATTAAAATTTATGTAGCTGAACATTTTATTTTCAAATTTACTGTTATACTGTCATTGAGACATTGTTTATAATTGTATTTTGAATAAACGTCTTTTATTGAAAATTTGCATATTCGTTTGACAGGCAACATGTTATTTCTTCTTTCCAATGATATATTTTTTTCTGTCAATGGTAGGCGTACCTACTACCATGTCGAAGTTACGAAATCAGATATTTTAATTATGTACCACCAACATTCTAAATCCCGGTGGACCCATAGTAAGAAAATGCCAATAATTCAATTTATGTATATAATTTTTCAATTGTAGTTTGAATTTATTTTATGAGAGTTTCCTAGAATTTCGAAAAAAATATGGATATTATAAAAATGAACTCAGTAAAGAAACACAATAATGATGGG